CTTTATTCAGTCTTTTTATAAAATCCCATTATTTAAAAATTGAGGGCAGAGCGATGGCATGTAAGGAGCTTTATATATGAGCCCGATGCTCAGTGATAACCCTTTCTCCTCTACTACTCAACAAACTCTACTTTATTGAAAAACATGGGCAAACCTACAGAAAGTATTGAAATGTGAGTCATAATCTAAAGTTCACTTCTAATACTTGCCAGATTTTTATCATAATTTTTACATAGGAAAAACTAAATTCAGAAAGTGGGAAAACATTCTGAAGGTGGGGTGGGAATATTTCTATTAAATCAGGCTCAGAATTTTTTTCAGCTGATTTCACTTATAAAGTGGTTACAATATCCCCAAACAAGAAAAAAAAATAGATGGACAGATACATGATTAAAAAGACAGAGTCAAATATCACTTGTAGAATCAAGGTTTTCACTGTTTGGCTGTTTCATGGTTTACTGTGTTGGAAATTTTTCATAACAAATCATTCGAAACACAAAATATTCAAATATTGCTCTGGCTCCGTCAGTGAAGAGGGAATGGACATTTGTTTGTTTCATCCAATGATTATTTCATTTCCAAGTTTAAATAATCTGGCAGCATGTTTGCTGAGGAAATTCCATACTTCCATCTGAATATGAGGAAACATGAATTTGGAGGAAGAATCTATAAATCAAATTACAGTATGTAAAAAAACCCCACAATTGGTAGTAAGAAAGTAGCAATGGGAATTGTGTTTTTGCAAAAGGTTCAGGAAGAAACCAAAGTATAAAAAGTGCCTGTTCTTCATTCCATAGAATTAAATTAAATTAAACTGACAAACCATAAAACTAATACTGAAAATAAAATTTGAGAGTAGCAATTGTTGACTTAGTTTTTATTTTTTATTTTTATTTTTTTTTTACAAAAACATTTCCAATTCCCAGCCATCCAGACACCAAAAAATGGGAACTAACTTACTTGTGGGGATGAGGACTCTCTGTTGTGTTAGGCTTCTCTGGCTTAGCCATGGCGTTCTGGGACTTGGATATAGTTTTGATGTCTCTGCCTCCTCCCCTCCTTCTGTAGGGAAAGAGGACGAGGATGAGAGCAGAAGTATCAGATGGCCTGTAGGCGCCCATCTATGTAGTAGCACAAATACCAGCTGAATGTATTTTTGATCAGGTACAAAGAAACAAATGGCTGTTGGTTTTTCCAAATGTTGTTTACCCTCCTGATATTCTTCCCAACTCCCATCATGTATAAATATGTATGGTATTTATTTTAGTGTGCAGCTGAGAACAAACGAAGCAAGGTACTCTGGTACCAATATGAAGTTATTGAGCTTTTAAACTGAATGGATTTGGGACTAACTTAATGGCTAGTTTTAGGACAAATTTTGCTGAAATAGAATATCCAAAAAGATTTTTAAAATGAGTGGGAAGGGAGGCAGAGAAAAAGAGGTGTTTCTTAGTACTCAAACTTTGCATGAAATTTTGTGGCAGAGCATGGGACTGGGGATGATTTTGGCCTCTGTTTTTAAATATGTCTAGACATCTAATTTTCAAGCAAATGTCAACTATCAGGCAACAGCATATACACCCTTTTTGAAACAAAATATTCAGAGCAAGGGTTAAGAAGCAATAACAGCAGAAGCGAAGGATGGAAAGGGGTATTTTACCAGGGGTAAAAAGTATGTGGAAAATGAATAAAGGAGGGTTTAAGAGCTTGATATTAGCGCATCCTAGTTCAGATACACCAGGGAATGGAAGTGGCGAGAGGGAAGGAAGGAAGGAATAAAGGGAAGGAAGGAATAAAGGAAAGGAAGGAATCTTTTAGTCAGAAACTTCATTGTTGAAAATGTCTTAAATAAAAATCTGAACATTCTGCTTCCAGAATTTTCTGTTTCTTTTAAAACAATTTTAACACTTCTAAACTACAACCAAAGGTTGTGGTAGGCTTGGCTGTCAGAATGATTATTTTTTAAGTTTTAAAGTTTTTCTTTAGTTGTAGATGGACACAATACCTTTATTTATTTCTATGCGGTGCTGAGCATGGAACAGAGTGCCCTACACGTGCAAGTCTTGCGCTCTACCATTGAGCTACAACCCCAGCCCCTGTCAAAATGATTTTCAAAGATGGCTTTGGAGTAGTGAACAAGGGGATTGGGGTGATGAAGATGGATTACGTTTTAGTCCACTTTGTGTTGCTGTAAGAGCATATCTGACACTGGATAATTTACAAAGTAAAGAAATAATATACTCCTCACAGTTCCGGAGCTGGGAAGACCAAGAATGAGGGGACAGATCTGGGAAGAGCCTTCTTGCTGCATCATATCATGGCAGAGGGCATCATATGACAAGGTGAAGCTTACAGGACAACCTAGTTTCACGGCAAAGCTACCCCTGGACTAAGTAGCCCATTCCCTCAATAATGACATTAATGTATCCATGAGAATGGATTATTTCTGACACCTCTAAAGTTCACACCTCCTAGTTCCCCAGCAGACTGGCAACTGAGTTTCATCATGAGCTTTGGAGAGACATTCAAATCACAGCAGACTGAAATGCACCAGGAGGCAAAACTAAGACCCAACGGCGCTTCAATCTCTGAAAGGCATCGGCTGCCAGAACTTCCGTCAACCAGCAGTAATACAATTTAAACAGCACATACTTTATCAGCCAAGGCTCAGTGAGGGTAATGAAATGCACACCATAATGTTAAGAAAAAATAAGGATTTGATAGAAGTTATTTTAAAGCATTGCTGGAGGGCTGACGGCGATTGGGTTTCAGGACAGAACAATGGAAGGCTGATCCACCAAGATCCTTACCTACAGTCTGCTGCTGCTGTGACTGCTGCTGGTCACCCAGGAATCCAGGTAACCGGCCTTGGAACACTGCAGCAAGACAAACTCACTTTTTCTAGACCTTGCCAGAAAGAACTGAAATACCGATGGGGAGTGGGGCAGAAAAATGGTCTCCACCTCATTTCTGTCTTCTGGATGTTGTGTTAAGTGCAGCTAATGGGCAGAAGGTAGTGTTACTACCCAAGTCTTAGTTGCAGGGGCATCTTATAAATATAGTTGCTCTTTTAAAACAGAGCAACTATATTTATAAGATTTAATTTAATTTAATTTCTGGCTACTTTAGGTCTAAGAAAGATTGAAAGGGAGAGTTATCCCATAATACCCACTACAGACCCAATATCCAGGAACAGAAAATATCTGCCAATACTTGTATAGTTATTTTGCATTTCAATTACTGGACCATTTAGTAAATAAAGTTGTTCTTTTAATTTTTTTAAAAGAGCAACTATATTTATAAGATGCCCCTGCAACTAAGACTTGGGTAGTAACTACCTTCTGTCCATTAGTTTATATAAAATGTAAACATATATCTGAATTATTTATACAAGTAATTAATATTCAGAGAAGTAAATTTTACTGATAGTAAAATAGTACTGATAGTACATTTTACTGATAGTTTAGATTTCAATCTTGATCTTGCAACTCATTAAAAATGTGGTCTTGGGGCTAGGGTTGTGGCTCAGTGGTAGAGTGCTTGCCTTGTGTGGGTGAGACACTGGGGTTTGATCCTCAGCACCACATAAAAATAAATAAATAAAATGAAGGTATTGTGCCCATCTAAAACTAAAAAAATATATATTTTAAAAAAGAATATGGTCTTTTCTATCAGTTACGTAACTTGTGTAAATCTTAGTTTTTTCATCCTTAAAATGAGAATTATAAGAGTAACATCTCATAAACTCAGTGACAAGAATGGATGAGAAAATAGATGTAAAGTGCTTATGTAATGTGATTAATTCTTTCTGTTTTGTTGCTGAGGTCATTTGTGTTGCTTGTTGGACTCAGGCACTTCACTACCACGGCTTAAGTTTGAATCTGGTTATGGAATTTACTAAAAATATCACTATGAGAAATTTACTTAAAATTTCTATGCCTCGGTTTTCTTATATGAAAACTTGAGATTATAATGCTGTTATATTGAAATGTGATTAAGAAATGAATAAAATAATTCATACAAAATTTTAATAGTGTCTGCACAACATAAAATCCAAGATATTTTTAAAAACATTTTAAATTTAGCTGGGTACAGTGGTGCACACCTGTAATCCCAGCAACTTGGAAAGCTGAGATGGGAGGATCACAAGTTCAAGGCCATCCTTTGCAACTTAGCTGGACTCTGTCTCTAAATAAAAAATGAAAAGATCTGGGCATATAGCTCAGTGGTAGAGCATCCCTGTGTTCCATCTGTGTACTACCAGAAACCAAGTTAAAGTTAGTTACTGAATTTACTTTACCAATATCAGTCGAGTCAACTTTTAATTTTTTCTTGGAAATTTTAAGAACAAAGATATAGTTTTTGCATCCTTTTGCTGTTTATTCTATTTTATAGACACAGATTACATTATAAATTATCTCAGGCTAATCCCAGCAGCTTGGAAAGATGAGGCAGGAGAATGTCGAGTTCATAACTCAGCCTCAGCCAAAGTGAGGCACTAAGCAACTCAGTGAGACCCTGCTCACGTTTGTGATGATACCAATGTAAACGAACCTATTTTACTTCTAGGCACATAAAAGTATAGCACAATTATGTACAACATGGTTTATATATTTACTGTACTATACTTTGATTATTATTTTAGAGTGAACTACTGTTTTAAAAACCAACTCTAAAACACTATTCCTGTTATACCAACAGCAGCTTCATATATCTTTTTATTTTATTTTTTACTTTTGCACAGAAATTATTCCAAGTAGACATTTACTATTTTCTATTTCAAACATTATTTCCCTGTGTCATTTGTATTTTGTGAATTTGTATTCTCACCAATTAGGATGACTTTTAAAATTTTTTATTTATATATAACAGAAGAATGCATTACAATTCTTATTATATGTACAGAGCTGAATTTTTCCTATCTCTGATTGTATACATAGTATACTCACACCAATTCGTGTCTTCATACATGCACTTTGGATAATAATGATCATCACATTAAAAATATGGAACACTTCATGAATTTGCATGTCATCCTTGCTCAAGGGCCATGCTAATCTTCTTTATATGGTTCCAATTTTAGTATACGTGCTGCCGAAGTGAGCACGTATGTATCTTGTATTTATGGAATCTCTTTTTTTGTTTGTTTATTTATTTATTTATTTATTTATTTATTGGTTGTTCACAACATTACAAAGCTCTTGACATATCATATTTCATACATTAGATTGAAGTGGGTTATGAACTCCCAATTTTACCCCAAATGCAGATTGCAGAATCATGTCGGTTACACATCCACAATTTTACATAATGCCCTATTAGTAATTGTTGTATTCTGCTACCTTTCCTATCCCCTATTATCCCCCCTCCCCTCCCCTCCCATCTTCTCTCTCTACCCCATGTATTGTAATTCATTTCTCTCCTTATTTATTTTCCCATTCCCCTCACAACCTTTTATATGTAATTTTGTATAGCAATGAGGGTCTCCCTTCATTTCCATGTAATTTCCTTTTCTCTTCCTTTCCCTCCCATCTCATGTCTCTGTTTAATCTTAGTCTTTTCTTCCTGCTCTTCCTCCCTCTTAATTGAATCAAAAGGCCACGTGGGATGATTGACCTGTGCCATCTAGGTTTGTGTAAGAAAAAGGAGAGTAAGGAAGTATCATGACAATAAAGATACTCTTAAGAAAGAATATGATGGGCTGGGGATGTAGCTCAGTTGGTAGAGTGTTTGCCTCACATGCACAAGGCCCTAAGTTCAATCCCCAGTACAAAAAGAAAAATAAAGAATATGAAATAAAAGATAAGTGACTTTGATTTTTTAAATTCTCAAAAATCTTCTATGGAAAAATATCATAAATAAATCTAAAAAAAATGATGGGAAGGGGAATTGCATGCTAGAAGACGGAGGTTTAATACAATGAACTATTTAAAATGAAAACAAGGAGATAATCTAAGAGCAAAATAGGCCAAAGAGGCAGAGAAACGATTCATAAAACCAAATCTACTGCTATCCAACATAAACTGAGATGCTCCAGGTCTCTACCTATGGGAATACAGTGGGATCAACCCTTTTCACATTGGCACAAATTAAGCAAGGCAAGATAAAATAATAACTGCTATTGCTGGCTTGTCACACTGCTAGTAGCAATATGAATTTCATAGAATTTTAGAAAGCAACTTAGCAATATGTATGAAAAATAAATATACATATTTATTTTTAGTATCATGCATATACACTTTTGACTGCACTTCCACCTTGGGAATCTATCCCATGGAAATAAAAGCACTGCTAAATGAACAAAAAAGCTTATTTTAGCATTAATAGTAGTTTGAAAATGGGAACTAAGTAATTGTTAATGAGATTATGATCTATTCATCTCACAGAATATTATGTAGCACTTAAAATAATGAATTATATCTATATTTGTTGGTTTAGAGGGATTTCCATGAATAGTTCTGAAGTGAAAGAAGCAAAATGTGAATATGTCATTTCTGTTAAAATATAAGCATTTACATATTTACTGAATATTCCGTTATCTGTAAGACACTGTCCTCGGGATTAATACAGTGAGAGAAATAAATGAATTATTGGTGGTTTAAAGGTGTAACACATGCATAATTAAAGACAGACAACAATTTAATGTAGCATAAGAAAATCTCTCCTGATATTTGGCTTTGAAAATTCCAAGTGATAAAGAGAACATGAACTCATGCTCTGGATAGATGTTAAGAAAGTCCACATTTAAAGACATTTATTTTTTTTATTATTGTTTTCTTTTGGAAAGGTGCCTTATATATTTATGATGTGAACTTAAGCAAAATAGTTCTAATAAAAATGTATCTGTCTTTAAAAAAAAATGAGTGGCTTAGATGCTGCTTGATTTCCAATGAGTTATAATGGTTTTGAAATCCATGTGGGTCAATATTTCCTACTGCTTAGTGAAACTCATCACTCATAATAGTCTTAGTTTCTCGCAATAATGATGATGCTAGCAACAGGTACTAATGGAAAGAGAAATTGAGTTAACATAAGTACAGCACTCAACACAGTGCCTGACACTGAACCAAGTGTATTGAATGACAGTTGTTATTCTGTCATTTCTATTTTGGAACAATTTAAATTTACAGATGACTTGAACCTAGTACAGAATTCCCTCGCCCAGTTTTCCTACTGATACCTTACATAATTGTGGTACTTGGGGTATATTATTATAAAAACTAAGGAACCAATATTTCCACATTGTGATTGAGCAAACTCTAGACTTTATTTGGATGCTACTAATTCTTCCACTCATGTCTTTTTTTCGCCCTTCAGGATGCGATCTCAAATACCACTTGTGTTCTCTTGGCTTATCTTCTTGGGCTCCTTGTGTTCTTGCAGGTTCTTAGTATTTCCTTATTGATTCATGACCTTGACAGTTTTGAGAATTATTGGACAAGTATTTTGCAGAATGTTCTCAACATGGGCTTGTTACGTGTTTTTCTCATGGATAAAATGGGGTTGCACAATTTTTGAAAGAACATCGAGAAGCTAAGTGCCCTTTTCAGTACATCATCTCTACAGAAACTTGCTGTCAATATGAATTATGACTGATGATATTAACCTTGATCACCTGACCAAGGTAGTATGTGTCATGTTTCTCTACTATAAATTCACACATGCCCTTTCTGCGAGTTGTTTTTGGGAAGCATGAAACTAAGTCTTTCCCATATCCAAAGGACAGAAAGGGGACAAAATTAAACTTTTCTTTCTGGATATGGAAGCATCTACATATATTATTAAGAATTATTATGTAATAAAGACTTTTTCCTCTCCTGTTTATCCAATCAAGTATTTACTAACATATGTTTATTTTACAATATAAGTTATAATCTAATGCTACATTATTTTGTTATGAATATTCTTCAATTTTAGATATCTTTAGACATTGAGAGCTTTTCCAGGTTGGCTCTTCAGTCCCTTTGACATGCCCCGATCTTTTTTGGTCTTTTGAGTACTTCCTTACTTTCCATCACTACACATAGGAGCTTCTTGTATTAGCTCTCGCCAAACCCTAGAATCGTCCATTTCTTCAGTAGTCCTGGCTGCTTCTATTGGAAAGTGATATTTGGAAAACAAGATCGGTTCACTGGAGGATCTCATTGCTACCGACGGTGTCACTCATTCCTGGCACTGTTCCTCTATAACACAAACAATGCACATGCTTATATACACACATACACTTACACATCTGTGATTGTATATCCATCTGCATTTTGTCCTTAACCTCCAGTTTCTAACCAGAACTCATTTTGTGAAGTTACTTGGGTCAGTTTCTTTCTTTTTTTCCATGCCTTTTATTGTGTTGCAATCACTTAGGATGAAACGTTCATTTCTTGGTATGTACAGTTTTATCCTTAAGTGTAGAACCATTTTTCCTGCTAGTAATCAGACTAACTTCTTTCTATAAGTGACATTTCTAAATTTTGTGTTTTTTATGCTGCTCCTGTTATTTATATATTCCATCTATTTCATCCTCTATTTTTAATCTGTGCCTGGGCACCCATTCATAATAGACCTGCTCTCTCATTTCTTTCATCTACTGAGAGACATCCTGAATGCAATCTCCTCTCCTTGATGGACTCTTCTGTGCTATAAATCATTTCACCTGGACCTTGGGAGCCATTCACTGGCATCCATTCTTAATATCTGCTATGGTCCCAGTAGTTGAACGAATAGCTTCTTCTAATCAGTCAGCATTCTCAGAATTCCCAGGTACCCTCAGGACATTCAGTAATCTCAGTAGGTGTCCTCATACCACATTGCAATGCTATTTGTTTCCTATGGTTGCAGATCCTAAATACTGTTTCCCATATTGCTTAGCACTATATTGACCACATGGCTTTTTAAAGAAGAATGGAGCCCCTTTCAACAAAAGCTCCCTACTGCTAGATTCTCCCACTGACTCTAAGTGCTTTCCATCATTGAAGTTTCTATTTCCTACTCCTTGAGGGCAAGAGACAAGGGGATAAGAGGATGGGTTTGGTGGCACATGCCTATAATCCCAGCTACTTTCGAATTTGAGGCAGATGGATGGAATCCAAGCTCAGACAATTTTGCAAAACCCTGTCTCAAAAAAAAAAAAAATCAAAAAGGATTGGAGATGTAACTCAGTGGTAGAATGCTCCTGGGTTCAATTCCCAGTAAACCACAAAACACACACACACACACATATCCCAGAGACTGATCTTTTTTTCAGGTGCCCTTCAATGTCTTTCTTTTGTTCTCCCACCAATCTACTAGTTCAATACTTACTTCATTAAGTTGGAAAGGGTTCTCATCATCACACAATCTTCCTCACCATATGGCTCCATGTGCTGAGTTTTCCAGATTCTGGTTTCTTGGATCCCCAAAATACCATTCATTCTGAGCAAAGCCATACACTTCCAAGTGGAAGGCTTACTTTTGAAAGTATGGTTTTTTGCTTTTCTTTTTGTTTTTTAACTTCCTTCTTGAAATGCAGCTGTCTTCTGTGTTCTTGGATTTTTCTGCTTGAGGGACATGCATATATGGAATATTACAATTCGAATCATTTTAAATAGCTATGCTTTCCTTTTTTGCAAATTATCAAAGAACAATCTGATTATTTAAAATATTCTATTCGAGAATAGAATATTTATTAGCTGCTTATAATAATTTTCCTTGTTTTAAAATTGGTAAGCATCAGAGATTAGATGATTTATTTTCAGTCTTTAGGAAGCCATTAGTGTTACCTGAATATCAGAGTCAGGAGCTAAGAGCAGTGAGGATTTTAATGTTTCAAAACAATATCCAACTACATACCCCATACACACACACGCGCGCGCACACACACACACACACACACACACACGTAGAGAAATATATAGGCACAAAAATGGTCACAACCTCTGGTCTCTTGAAAGCAGTCCCAATAACCTCAGAAATATCTAGGAATTCTAGTCTATTTTGCATGTGCTCACAAATCCATCACTTTTGGTTGCAGCATAGAATTCCACAATTCCAGCCCCACACCACACCACACCACACCCTCCCCTGCCCTCTTGAGGTGTCTGCTGCTGTTACTCTGAAGCTTGGGAACCCTAG